ATAAAGAAAGTAATTAATTGATGAATGAAGTACTCTCCCAATGAAATTAATTACTTGTAGATTTTCTAGGTTAATCAAAGTAAATACATTTTCAAGATTAATTAATTAATCTATCAAGGATGGCAAAAAATGATAATTTATGCATAAATTTTATAAAATGATATATATTGTGTTTCAGCTATTTTTAGAAAGGGGCGACATATAATATGAGACGGAGGGAGTAATGAATTATAGTGAAATGGATGAGAGGGAGTTGCTCGAATGGTAAGCACCCCTCACTTCCGACCTGAAAGTTGCGAGTTCGAGTTACCAGAAAAACAAATGTAATGGAGGCTCCGAGAGGGTTAAAGAAAAAAAATTAAAAAAATTAGTGAAATGATAGAGTGTACACACAATCATTATTATTGAACTTAGAGCTGGCTGGGTCAACTTTTTGCACTATCATGGATAGTAAAAGAACACAACAGTGTGGTTGAAAATTGAGACAATGCCAGCCATGAGTTCTTGGACCATACAAGTCTTATTATTCGGCCACGTTAACCATGTTACAGATTATTTTGTTGCGTTCGATATCTAAGGAAAAAAATAGTCTTGTTGCAAAATTAAAGCAAAATAAGATTAAAAAAATAAAAAAGATGAGAGCAATAGAAATAGGGAGATAAGAGATGAAAATTTTTCTTACTTTTTTCAAGTATTCAAGTGTTCTTTAAATCTTCAAGTGTATCCAATACTTGATAATTACTATACATTATGATGTAATTACACTTCGAATTTATAGATATTCACATAAATATATTTACAACATTGTGTATAATCTCAAATAATATTTTTGGAAATGGTATGTGGTGCGATGAAAACAAGAGTGAACATGAGGTGTGTTGAATGTTGGAGACAATACAGTTAGTGTGGAATGACACTCGTGAAAAAACACATTAATTAGCTTTACTGGGATAAAAAGACATTAAAGACTAAAATAGCCTCGACATCATCTTTTGTATTTTTTTGTTTACTTTAACTTAAATAGAAGGGTAAGATTATAATTTTTTATATAATATATTACATATCTTTTTTTTTTAATACAATGAGCCAAACATTCGCTAAATCAAGCCATATGCAATAGATAATCCAATAATTATTAGCTTACTAGTGACGAAGAGCCCGTGCACTACATGGACCCAATATTTATTCATAAATTAATTTTTAATTGATACTCAAATGATTTTAAATTTTATTTTAAATTTAAATAATTTGTATATATTTATATGACAGTAAACGTTTATACTAACTGTGAAATGAATACTTGATAAATATTATTAATTTATAATAATTTTGAAGAAATTTTGATTATATTATTATTATTATTTTATAAATAAATTATAAATATTTGTGATAGTAGTAAATCATCTCGCTCTTCTTTCTCTAAAATCTTATGTGAGTGGACATTGTCCTTTATTTTCTAAAAAAATTGAAGAGCAATGTTAAAAATTACTGTATTTTATTTTCTTCACTTAAAACTTAATCAACATACATAAAAATCATTGTTAATTCATATAACATTTGGTTATTTTTCTCATAAAGTATGTGAAATTTTTTGTATTGTTGCATTACTAATTAGCAACACTAATTTTTAAATTAGAATTTCTATATATAGTTCGTCTCTTAACCAAGTTGCACCTTAAGTATGAACTTAGTTATTTTGAGGTATTAATAAAAATACTATTTAAGTCTTTAAAATTTTATGAGTATAAAAATATTTTCTCTATTTTAATTTATTTGTCTAATTTTAAATATTATCTAAGTATATCATATATAACTCATTCTTAAAAATTCGAATAATTTAAATTTTGATTGCACTTTAAAATATTTCATTATGCTAGTCTTTTACATTTCTTTTATTGTTTTTATAAAAAAAAAAATACTTTTGAAGAATATTTCTTTATTAAACTTCCAATAACTTTGTGGAAATTTGTGTGATAAATTGTTTTTTCTCACTTTGGGGGCTTATTTTTTTTATTACTGTGGATAAAATTTATTCTATTATTAAATTTTTTGCATATAAAAATTAGTTAGTGCTAACATGAATATAAATTACTTCAAATCTTCCGGTTACTATGCAATGATGCATGCCAGAAACCTCTTTAAAATTACACACCTGTGAAGTAGACCCCATATTTCTCAAGATAAAAGTGTATAGAGGAACAAAATAGTAGTATGATTGTTTTGTCTAATTTGAAAAAAAGTACATGGTCAATAGCATAAAGTACAATAGATTAGTAGCAAAATAATTACAAAATATCAATACTACCCCTATGCCAAGCAGGCATGTTGACGGGGAGGAGCTTGCTTTGTGCAAACTCCCTCTTATTATATAAGAGAATGTATTACAATTTATAATTTATACCCTATAATAGGTTCCTGCATAATTTTTTCCATGAACCTATATTTCTCGGCTCCTAGCTATAATATGGTGGAATAAGTTGGATCCTCTACAAACTATGTAGTATATGTTTATAAATGAATTGCAACATAAATCATGGGTTAATACCTCAGATGGTCACTCAACTATCCAGTTTTTCCTCAGAAAAGTCACTCACATGGTGACTTTTTAGTGAAAATTAAAAATTGAGTGACTTTCTGAGGCAAAAGTGGATAGTTGAGTGACCATCTGAGGTATTAACCCCATAAATCATTTATGTATAAGTAAAAAAATGAATTGCAACATAAATCAGTTTTCACATTACCTGGACAAACACAATTGGTGTTCTATTAAACGTTTCAAGCTCAAACCAATTAGATTATCAAATAATTAAATTTTAAAAAATATTGTCTTAACTTTGAATGTCTTCTGAAGGTAACAATCACTATAATATTGGTTTTTGTAATTAAAAGTATTACCAAATATGTATAAGTAAAAAAATGATACTCTAATTGGCATATCTAATGAAGTAAAGTCTTAATTTTATTTTTAAAACACTTTTAGAATAATTTTACTAGTTTATGTAACAATTGATTATATTGAAAAAGTTTTAAAAACTATAATCAATAAGAGAGATTTAAACATTTTTTCGAATAAGAGTGGCATATTTTTTTTTCGAATTTTGGTTTGTTTCCCATTTTTGTTTCTTCAAGTTGCTGCCTATTTTAGATTTTCTTGTCATTATTAGTTCTTGCATAAGACTTATGTTTTAAGTCTTATGTATTGGGTAAGTTCTCGTTTCTGGTTTAAGCATTTTTTTTCTTCAGATTTTGGTTTATTTTCTAAATTTTGATTTGTTTTCCATTTTTCTTTCTTTGAAGTTGCTGTCTATTTTAGATTTCCTTGTCAATTCAGGTATTATTAATTCTAGGTGTTATTAGTTCATAAGGCTTTTTCGTTCATGGTTTAATCATATATTTTTTTCCAAATTTTGATTTGTTTCCGTTTTTGTTTCTTTCGAGTTGCTGCCTATTTAAGATTTCCTTGTCATTTAAGTATTATTTGTTCTGTGTCTTTTATCTTTAAAAATCACTCAAGTACATTTATCTTTAAAATTAAATTGACATGGCAAAATAAATTATTTTATACCATATAAAAATGAGTTCCCACATTATTTTTTATTTTACAATTTTATTTTACTTTTTGAAAAAACTGAATCTGCACCATTTCCAGGCACCTTCTCCCATTGAATGTAATTTCTATTACATTTTGAATAATTTTAAATTTTTTCAAACAATTCCCATTTTCTCAAAATATATTTTTTACACCAAGAAACTAGAAAGAAAGTGTGAACCTCTAGTGGACTCACCGAACTGGAACAATCCACAGAGGAATAACGAATCTAAAATTCACCACTTTTTACATTATTTTTTATTTTGCAACATTTTCTTTTTTTCAAAAAAAGGTCAAAATCCGCACCATTTTTAGTTTGTTTTTTAAAATTTTGTTTATTCGTGGAGTCTATGATTATATGAAATAAAAAATAATTTATTTTATTATGTCAAATTTATTTTTAATGATTAATGTAGTTGAGTGATTTTTGAAGATAAAAGTGTTAAGTTGAGTGATTTTATTGAAACAAAATAAAGTTCAATGACTTTGCTAGTTAAATTCTCATACTTCAATGACCTTTTGAGATATGAACTCATGTTTTAACTCTCAGGAATATATGTGGTACAAGGTATAAAAAATCCTATAAACTAACTATATTGTATGTTTATAGATTTTATACTAATGTTTTAGAGTATGTTTTTTGTTAGGTTTGTACTGAAGAATCTGAAGTTTCTGTAATGCTGGATTGGGAAGGCAATATCGTGATGAGAGATATTTGAAGAATCTGAAGTTTCTTTAATGATAGCTTGTGTGTTACGTTTTCTTGAGCAGTTTTTTTACTTTCTTGGTCAATGTTCGTCAATCTTTCAAATTTTCATGTGTACTAACAAACAATATATAGGATTTAAATATAAAATTCTGTTATAGCTTTTTATATTTAAAATGAGTCTCTATTAAAAGTAGTGTTATAGCTGTTTATATTTAAAAGGACTCTAATTCCTATAGAAGTTTTATTTTATTTTATTTTTGCAATCACTCTCACGATACCACATTTGTAGCTTTGACTATGCATGTGTTCTAACTAGGGAAAAATGACTAAATATAATATAATATTTAATGGTTAAATAAATTGTCTTAATTTTGATTTTTTTAAAAAAAAATCATGATAGAATGATGGCTTAAGTAGTGTCCACTGGAGTTCAATTTTCCGGTTTCTATATGCCTCTGTTTCCGAAGCATCGTATAGGTATACGGTACTAAATAAATCATGCTATAAATAAAGTAGAAAAAACAAGTAATAAAGTAATAAAATTGATTATACAAATGCAAGACTAGTCTTCCAATCGATTCATGTTGACTGAATAATTATCGATAGAAAATCAATAACATAACATGATGACTATGTATTTAATAAAAAACCTGACACAAATATAACATTTTTTTAGAAGTCCGAGCACCATAGCTATGATGATGAGATTTTCAATTTGATTAGAAAGGTGAGAGCTCTTTCCTAATGTAGAAGTTTCCTGATGGACCTCCCTGAGGTAAAAGAGCAAGCCAAACAGGACTTTGAGCACCCTCTTCACTAGTCAATATGCCAGAATAGCAACGTAAATCAGTTTTCACAGAACCTGGACATACACAATTTATGAGAAAATTTGGGTATTTCTTAGCCAATACTCTTGTGTAACCATTTAGTGCTGCTTTTGATACAACATAAGCAGATATAGTTTGAGGCCAATTTTTGCTTTCTAACAAATCCTCCTTGAAATCTTTGAGAAAAACATTCAAAACCTCATCCACTTTGTCTTCTGTTAGATTATCACAATCATTTAAGACTCCTACAGCCCATTCATTGCGTACATACTGAAACAAAACTTTGTGTCAGCTAGCTTCTTGTTTACTATATTAAAAATAGATGTTCATAATATGACTTACGTGTTATAAGATTATTGGTACGTTTTAAAATTAAAATACCTCTAATTTTCCACCAGTAGAGGAGACATTGACAATACGTGGTGAATCAGATAATTGAAGTAGAGGTAATAATTCTTGTATCATCCATTTTGCACCATAGTAATTTGTTTTTATACATTCTTCAGCAAAATCACTAGTTTGAGTGGCTACCTTTATCTTCTCATAGAATAAATCTTGCTGCAATTAAGACCAACAAAAGATTATCTCATTTCAAATGGAATAAAGAAGGTACTCATACAACTATTGGCAAAGAAATGAATCTTGCGCCTAATTCAACTCCAAATTTTCTCGTTCCATTGATGTGAGACTTAACACCTAGGATTGTATATCTAGTACGTGGATAATTTAATATGGTAAATCATAGATTGTAAATTGGAATGTATTTGGTTTTGATACCATGTAAAAAAATAAATTTTGAGCGTAATTCAATCCATAAAACTAGCTCATGAAGGGAGAATTATCTGATATAAGGAGTTTATAATTCTCTCATCCCACAAATGTGAGACCTAACACCATAAAATTGAAGGTAGAATTTTTTATTTTTTATTTTTTGAGGGTGAAGAAGAAAATTAACAATATAAGCAAATGAAAGAGTCACTTACTTGTGAGCTTATAATAACATCTTTATCCAAAAGCACTCCAAGAACTCCCGCATTATTCACCTGTTTAGGTTATTTACAAATTAATGACTCTTAAGCAAATTCATGAATCTATTAAGCAAACACAAAATTATAAAGAAAATTGAGATTAGGAAAACAGCCTCCGTAAAAATGAGAAAAATGACTTTTCTAATAGAAGTAGGGAAAGTAAATTTCACAAATCATATTCTATATTGATTGTGTCCTCCTACCCTTCAACACACCGTAATTTCACCCCATTACACCACCTATAGTATTTGTCTATAATATCATATATAAACGATTTTAGGATAATATTTTTTTTTACTTATCTATCAAACACAAGAAAATAAGTAAGAAATCCACTTATTTTCTAGAAAACATTTTTCATCAAAAATATTTTCCTTAATACAAACACACCATCTACGAAATTCATCACTAATGTATCACCAAATAGCCAGTAGAAAACACATTTTTTTAATAATCCATTTCTACATAGTTACATAATTTTTCAATAATCTATCGTCAATTCATTATTAAATAGGATTAGCGACAGATTTTTGTTGTTTTTTTAAGCTTTGAACTCTATTCTATAGAAAAAAATTAAAATTGAAAAGGAGTGGAAGAGGAAATACCAAAATATCAAGCTTGCCAAATCTGTCCTGGATGAAATCTTTGAGTCTTACAATGCTAGAAATGTCAGTCACATCAAGTTGATGAAAAATGATATTATAATTAGAGTGGCCATCCATCTTTAACATATTATTAACAGCTTCATTCCCTTTTTTCTCATCTCTTGCTGTTAAAATCACCACTATCCCCTTTGCTGCTAGTTGTCTACATATTTCTAATCCTATCCCTTTGTTGCCTCCACTTACAACTGCAATCCTGATGATAACAACAAATTAATCCAAATCATAGGAAATTAATTAAAATAATATGTTCATTTTTCGATACGTATTATCTCAAAAAGTCAAAATTGGAATCATCACAAGGAAAACTAGTACTCCCTCTGTCCCAATTTATATGACTTACTTTCCTTTTTAGTCAGTCCCAAAAAGAATGACACATTTCTATTTTAAGTAACAATTTGCCTATAAAATGTCTTTTTTACCCTTAATGAAATGATTTACAACCACACAAATTTCTATCATTCATTTTGGACCACAAGTTTTAAAAGTCTTTCTATTTTTCTTAAAGTTTGTGCCAAATCAAAGTACATCATATAAAATGGGACGGAGGGAGTAGTAATTAACTTTTTCAGATAATAAGTACTCTTAGTTGAGTGATGATATGAGAAATCAATCCCGGCATTAAAAAGCAGTGAGAATGAGTACTTACCGTTGAGTTGCCAGGAAGTTGGAAGCTTCAGCCATAGTATCAAGTGTTTGTGCGTTTTAAATGTGTAAAAGAAAGAAAGAAAGAAAAACTATGTAGTAGTATAGGTGAGGTGAGAGTTTATATTTTGAAGCAAAAGTTTTTGGCGTATGACGTGGAAGGTCCTTGTACTTGATTTTGTTTGTTAGTTGAACTATTATACTCACGATTTTGTCAACTGAACCCTTAAACTTACTAAAAATACAATATTTTAAACACATCTGATCATTGACCAAACTTATGTAACACTAATATTGCTGAGTTGGAAAAATACTTAATTGCACGTGCTTCAAAGTGAGTGAATATATTTTTTTTATATTAAAAATTATTACAAAAATAATTTAAAATACAAAAGAGAAAAAATCATCCCTTCAGCCCCCCACCCTCTCCTTCTTCTCTCTCCTTCTTCCTTCAGCCCCCCACTCTCTCCTTCTTCCTTGAAGCCACCCACCACTCCACCCTACCCTCCTACCCCATCCCTTCTTCTTTTTCTTAACACCCGCCCCCCCTCCCCTCACCCCCAACCAAATCTCTTATCTCAATCATTTTAGTTTCTTTAATTTTGAAATTCAAATTTCTTCTCTATAAATCTTGGTCGATTTACACACTTTTAAAATCTGAATTTTCAAATCTTGTTTGTGAAAGGTGGAAGTTTAGATAACTTTGTAATCTTGAAGACTAATGGTGTATACTGAAAAGTTGAAAAACTTCATGAAGAAGCTCTTCGTGAAGAAGCTTGAAGAATAACAAATGGATTTTGTGAATTTATGAAATTAATTCAAAATTATGATGGAAAATTATTGGGTTTGTGTTGGTAAGCTTTTTGTGTAAAAAAATTCATGTCAAATAGGAAGAATTAGACCAATTTGACATGAATTTAGTGCTCAATTATGAGCAAATATGAAGAACATGAGATTGAAAATTTTAATGTGCAATCTTTTTTTTTTAACATTTATTTTCTTATGTGGCATTAAAAATGACATGAAATTCCATGTGTAAGCGGTTGTGCTACACTCATGCACATAGACTAAAAAAGGGGTTTAAAATATTGCGTTTTAGTGAGTTTAAGGGTTCAATTGGCAAAGTCATGAGTATAAGAATTCAATCGACAAACTGAGCCAAGTATAAGGGTCTCACAAATCATTGTGCATTTTTTATTTACTTTAAATATAAGGGTAAGATTATAAAATTTTATATAATATATTACATATCCATTTTTTTAATACAATGAGCCACACATTCGCAAAATCAAGTCATATGCCATAGATAATCCAATAATTATTAACTTATGTATTACAATTTACAATTTATACCTTATAATAGGAACTTTGTCCATGAACCTATAATATGGTCTAATAAGTCGGATCCTCTACAAACTATGTACTATATATTTATTGAAAATCCAACACGAATATAATAATATTTTTTGAAAAATTTGAGCAACATAGCTATGATCTATATCGCAAGATTTCTCAATTTGATTAGAAAGATGAGAGCTCTTTCCTATTGTAGAAGTTTCCTGATGGGCCTCCCTGAGGTAAAAGAGCAAGCCAAACAGGACTTTGAGCACCCTCTTCAACAGTCAATGTGCCAGAATTGCAACATAAATCAGTTTTCACATAACCTGGACAAACACAATTTATGAGAAAATTTGGGTATTTTTTAGCCAATATCCTTGTGTAACCATTTAGTGCTGCTTTTGATGCAACATAAGCAGATATAGTTAGAGGCCAATTTTTGCTTTCTAACAAATCCTCCTTGAAATCTTTGAGAAAAACATTCAAAACCTCATCCACTTTGTCTTCTGTTAGATTGTCACAATTATTTAAGACTCCTATAGCCCATTCATTGCGTACATGCTGAAACAAAATATCGTGTCAGCTTCTTGTTTACTATATTAAAAATAGATGTTAATAATATAACGATTAGATAAAATACGTACTTGGAGCTTTCCAGTAGAGGAGGAGACATTGACAATACGTGGTGAATCAGATAATTGAAGTAGAGGTAATAATTCTTGTATCATCCATTTTGCACCATAGTAATTTGTTTTTATACATTCTTCAGCTATATCAATAGTTTGAGTGGCTACCTTCATTTTCTCAATGAATAAGTCTTGCTGCAATTAAAACCAACACTAGATTATTTCATTTCAAAGAGTTCGGAGCCAAAGGGCAAAAAAAATTGCCAAAAATTTTAAAATGGCACATCATATTTTTTTAAAATCAAAGGGGCAGAATCGTTACTGTCAAAGCGCTTTCCCTCTGACACATATGAACGCCGTTAAAATTAAAAATCGCTGCCCGAGCAGCGATTTTCTCCAATTTTTTTTTTCTTTTTTTCCGCTAGTATCGCTGCTATGGCAGCGTTTTCATAGAAAAAAATTTTAATTTTTTTTTCATGAAAATCTCTGCTTTGGCAGCTTTTTTTAAAAAAAATCGCTGCCTTTGAATTTTTTTTTTCTTTTGAAAATCGCTGACAAGGCATTTCATCCAAATTAATGAAATGCGGCCTTGGAGTCGATGAATGCGGCTTCCAAAAAAATTTGCCAATTTTTTTTTTAAAGAAAACGCTGCAATGGCTTTACTAGAAAGCTGCCAAAAAGCAGCAATTTTCATGAAATTTTTTTTAAAAAATTTTCTATGAAAACGCTGTCATAGCAGCGATATTAGCGAAAAAATAAGAATTGATTTTTTTAGTAAATCTCTGCTCGGGCAGCGATTTTTAATTTTAACTGAGTAAACGGCGTTTATATGTGTCAGAGGGAAATTGCTTTGGCAATAGCGATTTTGCCCTTTTGGTTTACAAAAAATATAATGTGCCATTTTGAAATTTTTGACAATTTTTGCCTTTTTGGTTGACTCTCATTTCATATGTACTCACGAAATTTACACAACCATAAAAATAATTTTTTTTCTGAAGAAAGTGAAAGCTAGAAAATTGATAGTATAAGCAAACGAAAGAATGGACGTGATGACAAGAGGCCCTTCACCTTCAATGCTAAGATTGCGAGTTTGAGACATATTAAGGGAGTAAAAAGTTGGGAGCTTGTGGGGTGAAAAGACAAAAAGAAAAGAGAAATTCATGTGATATATAGTGACTTACTTGTGGGCTTATAATAAAATCTTTATCCAAAAGCACTCCAAGAATTGCCGCATTATTCACCTGTTGTTTAGGTTATTTAGAAATTAATAATGATTGTTATATTTGCATCACGTAGTACGGTTAAGCAAATTCATGAATCTATTAAGTAAACACAAAGTTATAAAGAAAATTGAGATTAATTATGATTAATGCATAAAGCTCGATTAGAGAAAACATTTTCAGTTTTTCCATGTTCGAGTGGTCAAATAATTTTAAAAACATTTTCTATACGAAAAAAGCTCCTTAAAAATGAGAAAAATGATTTTCCTAATGGAAGTAGGGAAAACAAATTTCACAAATGGTATTCCACATTGATTGCATCCTCCTACACTCCAACACATTGCATTTTCACCTCACTCCCACCATCCATAGTATTTGTTTAAAATATCATATACAAATGATTTTAGGAAATATTGTTTGCTTATCTACCAAACACAAGAAAATTAATAAGAAAATCCACTTACTTTTTTAGAAAACATTTTTCATCGACAATATTTTTTTTAATACACCATGCATCTACAAAATTCATCTCTAATCTATCACCAAATAGCCCGTAAAAAACACTTTTTTCTATAATCCGTCTCTACATAGCCCCGTCATAGTTACATAATTTTTTCAATAATCCATCATTAATTCATTATTAAATAGGATTAGCGACAGATTTATTTTATTTTTTATTTTTATTTTTATTTTTATTGGACTCAATTCTATAGAAAGAAGTAAAATTGAAAAGGAGTGGAAGAGGAAATACCAAGATATCAAGTTTGCCAAATCTGTCCTTGATGAAATCTTTGAGTCTTACAATACTAAAAATGTCAGTCACATCAAGTTGATGAAAAATGATATTATAATTAGAGTGGCCATCCATCTTTAACATATTAATAACAGCTTCATTCCCTTTTTTCTCGTCTCTTGCTGTTAAAATCACCAATATTCCCTTTGATGCTAGTTGTCTACATATTTCTAATCCTATCCCTTTGTTGCCTCCACTTACAACTGCAATCCTGATAACAACAAATTAATCCACATCGTAAGAAATTAAAATAGTGTTTATTGTGCGATAATTATTATCTCAGAAATGTCAAAATTGAAATCATCAAGAGGAAAAGCTGGTAATAACTTTATGAGATAATAACTATTAGTTGACTGACCATCTAACAAATCAATCCAAATTTGGAGTGGTAGATTCTGCTTTAAAAAGTAGTGAAATTGAGTACTTACCGTTGAGTTGCCAGGAAGTTGGGAGCTTCAGCCATGGTATGAAGTTTTTGTGTGTTTCAATGTGTAAAAGAAAGAAAAACTATACACTAGTGTCAGTAATAAATAAATAAAAGTATATACAGGTGAGACTTGAGAGTTTATATATTTATATATTGATACAAAAGTTTTTGGCATATAATCACAAAAGAAAAGAATGCGTCACTATTATTGAATAATTAAGAAAATAATTGTCAAAAATCACTAGTGTGGTTGTTAATTGAGACAAATGACAGCCATAAGTTCTTAGGACCACAGAAGTCTTATTAGCAATGTTTCATATTATCTTCTTTTTTTTCGGTACCTAAGCAAAAAAAAAAAAAAATTATATTAAAAGTATTTGTATATAATTTAAGATAAATATTATGGGAGATGGAATATGATGCAATGAAAATGAGAGAACTTGAGGTGTGTTGAATGTTGGAAAGGATACAATTAATGTGAAATGACACTTGTTTTCTCTACCTCCACCAGGGAAGTCGTATTCCTCTTTTTTAATAAACATAGAAAATGTTCTCCAAAAATTTTGACCAACCAAACATGAGAAAGTGAAATTTTCGTCTCGTACCAATCACCTTCAAGCCCAAATCAAATTGTTTCAAATGCTATTTCATTTCATAAAAACCACAAAAATGAATACAGTTCAATAGGTGGTGCTGCTGAGAGAAAGTATCAGCTTTTATTCTGAGATAACAAATACATCTCCTAGTCAAATCAAAGGTTACATATGCTTCATCAGATAAACAAGAATGGCTTACAACAAAAAAATGAAATATTTGAAGAGCCCTTGTCTCTTTCGTGGTTCAGCAACATTTGTCCTTGTAATTGTACACCTAATACAGTCAAGTTCGCGGAATTTTTTTACCTTTACAGGCAATTTGGAGCACCAGACCATACTCCACTTCTCGTGGACCTGTGATCTCAACCCAGGAAGTGCTTCACTATTCGTGAACAAGAGGGCCATAGACAGGATACCACATATTTTGTCTCACGTGTTCAATGGTCTCTTCCTGCATCCAACGAATGAAGCTCTTGAAAAAAGAAGAAGGCGGAAACACATTTTTCTTAACTGTATATATCATTATGATTCTTGTTTCATTTCGTTTAGGAGATTCTAGTAACATTTCCGTACCTTTGACATATGCTGCAACTCTCTTACCCCAACATCACCGTGACCTTCTGCCAGGTCTTCAGCCACAGCAGCCCGTAAAACAGCAGCTCCCACCTCTGCTGTAATATCCCGAATACTGCACACAAAATAGAGATATTAGATACGATTACTTGTAGGAAGCAATCTTGCCTTTGCCACCTCTAAGTGAATGCATTCTGCAAGTGCAAATTACATCAAAATACAAGTTTCCCAAAACTCATCAAACAATCTCATGACTAGTAATGCCCTCACAAAGGTTATCACTACGTAGTCTGAAAATTAATAAGCGTGGGAAAAGAATAAGAAAATGATTCAGCAACAATAGCACCACAATTTATATGATTAACTAGTAGCCGTATTCATTGCCTCAAAGATTAGATCTCTAAATGGATGTTCACAAAAAATAAACAAATATATAAAAAGAGAAACTAAGGATGAGCTGAGTGATCAAGTGTTGCCCATGTGAAATAACAAGATTCGGGTGTAGCAACATTTCATCAGACTGGTCACTTTACTGTCACTGTTGCATGATAGCAGCAAAGTAAGTGTGCATTCCTTGTCATGTAACACAGAGACTCAAAATCAGGAGAGATAAACCTAGACGTTTGTGCTTTATAAAGCTGCACCTTGAAATTGAAGCATCATTGTCATCAAAATTTTGTACGTTGTTAATTTTGACTCCCTCAAATATGCTTATTACAGTTAAATGGTGTAGTAACAAGGGAGACAGGAATAAGCATGTGACCTAGAAATCCTATAAGGCCAAAACCAGTCGGCAGTCACTAATATGTTCAACTAACACAATAAAAACATGCTATCAAATTTATAAGTTGCAACAATCAGTCAGTCATATCTAGTCATTGCAGGGACAGGGTGGAGCTAATTTAGTGCTTAAGATTTCACATCTCCAAATAAAACTCTATGAGCAAAGAATACTTTCTCCAGGACCAAAAACTTACTCATCAATGGATGGATACAAGATTCCTCTATTGATTTCGTCATCGGACATGTAAGAAGCAAGGCTGCACGATCAAAATAAATATACAAATCAGTAAATGTATAGATAAGAGAAGGTTTTATTGCACCACATGCTTTAAACTAAACACACAATACAAACTGAAAAGCTCACACCACTGATGGTCAAATCAAGTACAAGGAGACAGGATTGTCAGATCATACCACTCAGCAGCAGCTTCTAACATTGTATCACTTATGTTTCGAGCGCCAGAAAGAAGAGCTCCTAGCCCAATGCTGAATTGTCAACAATAATCTTAGATGAGTGCAACACATTCAAAACAGTTAACATAGGTTTACAATCAGCACCTACCCAGGGAAGAGATACATGTTATTCGCTTGATTTACATGGCCTATCTTACCATTCCCTGAGAACATATTAGAATAGGATTCATGAGGTAATACATCATCAATAAGCACAAAAGAGGCTTAAACTGGGATGTGGAGATGAATTAATGAAAAGGAGTTGCTCAGCGACTGCAACAAGTATGCATTAAGGATACAGAGAAAAAATGCATTCAAGAAACCAGAAACTACCTAGATCAACATTTGCAAAGGGACTCCCACTAGCAAAAACAATATCTTCTCCAGCAAGCTTGAAAGCATCAACAGGACAGCATTCAGCTGTTGAACAGAATATACAATATTAAATACAAGAACAAGACAAACAGCCGATTGAGGAAGCAAAAGATGGATGACAAGACAAACCATTGTTTGTAGGATTTGACATGGCGAAAATTGCAGGTCTAACAGAATCTGACTCTTTCATGGCCCTCAGCACCTGAACATTACACCAAGACAAACACAAGTTGATATCGACGGAACAGACTTACTGCAAGAAACTTTCAAGTGACTTAACTGATCAAAAAGAATGTTCAAGTGATTTAATCCAAAGAGCAAATAACACCTCACATCATACTTCAATGAGAAAATTCCAGAAAATAAGAGATCACTTCAACAGTCGCACGTATCTCTTTCTCATGATTTATCCTAGAAAATTCTTGAAGTACTAGTTTGTTGAAAAGGGATGAAAAAGGAAAAAATGTCTGAAAGGAACCTGCTAAAGGAAAGCAAAGGAATAGGAAGCAAATTGGTAGATGAGATTAGTCATTAGATATGATTCTCAATGGCATAAGCTTCACAAGTATGTAGTGAATCAAGCGAATTGACCAGAAAATAAAGTTTAAATATGTTATAACTCCATGATGTCATTTAAGGCAGAGCAAAGGAGTCCAGATGTGGATATATGACAAGAAAAAGAAAATAAAATATTGTCCTACACTTGTTAAAGATTGAGTAAAATGATTAGATGTGCCAAATAAGTAACTTCGGCCAGCTAGAGCGTAAAGATCCAATCATTTCCATAAAGTTTCACGATTAGCTAGATGTCACACAATTGAAAATAGCTGAACCAATGACACGGTTCTTATCTCTGAGTGTCATAAATAAATGCTAAAGAAGAAGAAAACAAAGTACATGACCCACCTCCTCATGAAATATGCCTCCAACTCCTGACAAACCAAGAAGTACATGAGGCTTCACCTTTTTGACCTGACAAACATTTAAGCCAGCCTTATTGTCTTGGAAAGCATAAAAGGCACTAAGATGAAGATAGCAATTATTAGTCCCCTACAGCCCAATAATCAACAAGGTCAACAAATTTTAACAAAGCACGGACATCCTTCTACTAAGAGCAACTTAGTTTTGTATGCCCAGAGATTCTATTAACATTACCACTTCAGCGAGCCCTGCTCCCTCCTGTAGTCCTAGCCCCTCAATCTCGTGATGGGCTTTAGCAAATGGTAATGCTGCTGGATCAATATCTTTCCTATCCTTTGTGATAAGACCCTGCATCAACAATCACCAATGACCATTACTAATCACGTTGGAAGGAAGGAAATCTTTAACACCAACAGATGTCATGGACAGAAAAAAATATGGTACTTGTCACGGAGCCCAGAGGCCTGTTGATGTGATTAGTGAATGAAGAATTGTTTTCATCTATAATACATTTTTTTAAAAATATTTAATGCCGATGTTTTCCCCCAATATAAAATGCAAGCATGGTTAGACATATTTGATAAAAGACACATGCAAAAAGAGGGAACACATTCACATGTTCTGAATCAACATGGACTATAAGCAATCTGTATATATACAAAACCTCACATTTTTATCCAGAAGAAAAAAGTGGGGATCTGCTGATGGTCCAGTCATTCTTGAAACGGCTTGTAATGCCATCTTAAGAACACCAAGCCCCGCACTGAAATCCAGAAACCAATAAAGAAGAGAATGCAAAATTAAGTCACCTCAGACAGACATCTAAATAAGACAGAATTTATTAGTAACCAAGAATAGGTTGTCAAAATTAATTTTGCCATTACCTTCCTGCTCCAACTACCACTATCTTTTGGTTGGCAAAATCAGTCAGTGGCCGGCCCTGTGCCCTAACAGTTCCTAATAGCCCAGCAAGAGCAACACCAGCTGTTCCCTATTGAACAAGAAGAGCAGAAGATAATTCTTTCTGTCAGTGGTGGCTGCAGAAAGGAGAACAAGGGCCAACAAATAACCTCCAGAAAAAATCGGGGACCAAGCAAACTACCTGTATATCATCATTGAACATGCAAAACTTTTTCCGATAGCGATCCAGTGTCTCAAAAGCCCACTTTGCTTGAAAATCCTCAAACTACTAGCATTATTCAGATTTATCAGTGCAATAGAAATAAAATAGTATCAGATATCTCTATTTGATAATAAATGGACCTGCACAACAGCCTTTGGCCAACGAGCATGAACAGCTTCCACAAATTCATCAACTATTGACAAATATTCTTCTCCTTCCAACCTAGGTTGTCGCAGTCCAAGATCTGTAAAATTAAAATCCTGTAAGAAGCAGGAACCCTTGCACCCAACTTGAAGAACAGAATAAGGAGGGTTGAAAAGGGCTAATTTTCAAAACTAGAACTGTATATATCTGATAGGTGTGAGCATATTAGATTACTAATACTTTTTTTGGATGAAGTACTACGCATTAAAAAATCTTACTCACAAAGAGGATCTTCTAGAAGCTTCTGATTGTTGGTCCCGACGTCAAGCATAACTGGGAGCACCTGTTAGGCATAGGCATAGGCATAGGTAAATCTGGCAGACAACATATTTTGCAAACATGAAGGCACATCATAACACGGAAGTGTTGATTGTTTGTTTGGGAAGTATAACAATCACCAGTTCTATTATTCAAGGAGCAGATTGTGTGTTCATCAATTTTGATTAAATTGTACATGACACTGATAATTAGAAATGACGTAGGCAGACTTACCGAACATCAGT